ACACTTGACATCTCACTTCACTGACCAAATGCTATGCTCCTTCACATCCTTGCCTTTGCACCTGCTGTTCCCACTACCTGGAATGGCTTCTCCTGTGATTGTACCTTAATTTATCCTTCAAGCATAGCTCAGATGTCACTACTCAGATAAAGCCTTCCCCGGCTCCTATGGCGTCACCCATACCTCTTCTTCCTGTACTCCCTAGGAGACACTGTTCCAAGAAGGCAGGACAAAAATAACAGCTGCTCACATGACAGACCACTTACTACGTTGCCAAACTCTTCTGAGGGCTCTGCACAGATTAACCTTAGTCCATCCTCACACCAACCGTGTGAGGGATGTGCTATCAGCCCTCACCCCACCTGACAGAAGTGGAAACTGAGGTGTGAAGAGGTTCAGGTAACTTGCCCAAGGTCATCCAGCCAGGAAGTGGGAGAGCTGGGCCTTGTTCACCACTGTGTGCCTAGGTCCTAAACACAGGGCACAGCACATTCAATGCGCCCATGATTATTCTTTGGAGGAATGAAGTCTAGCAGGCAGTATGTTTTCTTCAACCCTGTATCCCTATACCGGGCAGGAAATATAGGCTAATAAATGTTTTTGGAACAAATGAATGGATGGATGGATGATGAGTGAATGAATGATGCAACTGCCTGCTTGCCGGAGCATGAATTTAAATTTAGCCCTGTAAGCGTCCTGATGCCACGCAGCAAAGGGTTGAGGGGAGAGGAGGAACTGAGTGACCGGGGAAAAGCGTGCAAGCTGGAACTGGTTTGGGTTTATTTATCTTAAAGTCTTTGTTTACTCAAAACCTACCTCCAGGTAGTCTAAATTAATATGATTTTCTTCCTACGTGTATATCAGGGGTTTGGCAATAGAAAACACTTGAAAACAACTTCCAACAGCTCAAGACAGATCTGGCCCAGGCAATGATACCTGCCCCTGCCCCTGCCCCAGCCCCGGTCTCTACCCAGCCTCAGCCCCATGCGGCCAGTGTTCACAATGGTCGGGATGAGGGAACAGAGCAGAGGGGTTGAGGGGGACAGTAGGGCGTCTGGAGTCAGAATTGCCTGGGTTTGCCCTGGCTCGACCACTTACTGGGTCTGTGACCTTGGGTAAGTCACGTTACCTCTCTGAACTCTGGTTTCCTCATCTGTAAAGGGCAAAGAAAAGAAAGAGCGTCCTCCTCACAGTTTTTGCGAAGACCAAGGAGATCACTGCCTGGCACCAAAACCTGTGTGCCGAGTGCTATTTGTTCTGTGTCATCATTGAAGGATCTGATGTTGCTGGACCCTCTCAGGAATCTGTGCACCAGCTAGGATAGGGATTATTCCCATTTTTACAGATGAGGACACCTGAGGCCAAGGACCTCCCTTCATGGGCCAGACAGCAAATAGGTAGCAGAAACACGGCTGCCTCGGAAGATAATCTAAACTCCTGAGCTTCCAACTTAGGTTCACTGGACGCCATCTACTGACCGAGGCAAGGAAGTGGCCGGAGATGGAAGAAAATGTGCAGCTGCTGGAAGGATGCGCCCTCTGGTTGGACTTTCAGGCACAACCCTCAGGCGTTGCCAATAAGCAAACAGCACCATCCTCCTAACTGTACTGCTGCTGGGCTGAGATGGCCCGGGTCACCGACGCCCAGGAATTGCACCTCCCACAGTATTCCATTTGGAAAACGGAGTCTGACCAGATGGCCTGTGGCAACTATGGTGCCAGACAATTTGACTGTTTGTCCCAGACCTGACGCAGGGAGGGCAGATGAGGACGTCCTGAAGCAGCTGGTGGTGTCAGCTTGTTATCTGGCTATTTCTGGGGCAGGAAGGCTGGTCAGAGAGAGAAGTCTCCTGGGTCCTACTTACCATGGTGGTTGATATGGTCTCAGTGGTGATGGAGGGAGCAGTGGTTATGAATTCCTTCCCGCCTAGGGCAGTCCCATCCACCTGTGGTCAGAGGAAGGAGTCATCAGAGAGGGACACAGAGAGAAGCCGGATTCACCTGCAGCATCTGCCCCCTGGGCTCACGGCAATCCCCGCGACAAAGCGACAGGCTGTGTGAGTGAACGTGCACCGGGGGCACGTGGGTGTTCACACACAGACTGAATTACAGACGGGCCTCACAGAGCCTCCGGTTCACTTCAGTCATCTTACTTGATTGACAAAGGAAAAATAATCCTAGACAATTTGATCAATTCTATCCAAATTTTAATGCATGTATTCTTTGACCTGGTGATCCCATTGCTAGGAATTCACCATTGGGATATAAACTTTGAAAACTTTGCCAAGAAGTATAGACAAGGAAGTGCACTGCAGCACTCATCGTTAACTGCGGAAGAGGAAAACAAGCACAGGTCCATCGATGGGAGACTGTGTGGAAAACCAGGGTCCCCTCCTGAGTGGAACTAAGAAGACTAAGGTGGGTCCACATATGCCAGCAAAGGTCGATCTCCAAGAAGATTGTTAAAAAGGTAAGGTGTAAGACAGAACCATCTCTTTCCTGTAGAATTTTTAAATATCTAGAGATGTAAGTATACACGCTGGTATATGCATACATATTTTTCTGGGAGGAATCAGAAAAAATTTCATTTAGTTCTGTTTGAATTTCATAACTGTGAACATTTTGATGTCAGTAAGGATTACTGCGTTGTGGAATTGGGGGCCAATTTTGTTTTCTTTTTATTTCTCTGCATGAAAACAAAACCCACATTACAAAACAGGCCAGAGGAGGAATACGTTGCCTGAGGTCACAACTCGTCAGAACTCAAGAGTCCCGACCCAGGAGTCTCGACCACTGCACTAGCAGCCTCTTCAACCCCATGCGTGTTATAAAAGTGGGAGGGAAAATTCTGGAAATGGCAGCGTTCCCCATGTTGTGTTGGTTTACGTTTTTCTTCAGTTCTTAAGACAAAGACTGGTCTCCAGGGCAAGAAAGCCCTCAGCACAGCAGCTCTCTGGCCAGAAAGAACCAAGAACCACATCTCAATTTTGAAAGTTTAAAAAGCACAGAAGGAACTTCGGGACCACCTGTATCAATTCATGACAGCCTTCTCTGGGGTACTCAGTGTGTTTCCTCTCACTAAGACAGCGGTTCTCAGCCTGTGGGTCACAACCCCTTTGGCGGTCGAACGACCCTTTCACAGGGGTCCCTAAGACCATCCTGCATATCAGATATTTACATTACAATTCGTAACAGTAGCAACATTACAGTTATGAAGTAGCAACGGAAATAATTTTATGGTTGGGTCACAACATGAGGAACTGTATTTAAAGGGCCAGAAGGTTGAGAACCACTGCACTAAGACAATGATTTGGGGGTCTCTTTTTCCCCCCGTTTATTCATTTTGCCAATCTGATGTGGAACCCTCGTGCATAAAAAAACGACCCAACATAAGCCATTGTGACTGAAGCTGGCTTGGATCTTCTCTTTCCGAGCAGGCCCTGGGGTACATCAAGAAACCTCTCACCCTGGCCAGTTTTCTCAGTGGTTGGAGCATCAGCCCATGGACCGAAGGGTCATGGGTTCGACTCTCAAGTCAAGGGCAAGTACTGAGGTTGCAGGTTCGATCCCCAGATCTCTCTCACTCTCCCCCCCTCCTTTCCTCCATCCCACTCTCTCTAAAAATCAGTGGGGAAAAGTATCCTGGGGTGAGGATTAACAGCAACAAAAAAGAGAAGCCTTTCCAACTCCTTAGAGCAGTGATGGCGAACCTATGACACGCGTGTCAGAGGTGACATGCGAACTCATTTTTTTGGTTGATTTTTCTTTGTTAAATGGCATTTAAATATATAAAATAAATATCAAAAATATAAATCTTTGTTTTACTGTGGTTGCAAATATCAAAAAATTTCTATATGTTTCACGGCACCAGAGTTAAGTTAGGGTTTTTCAAATTGCTGACACGCCGAGCTCAAAAGGTTTGCCATCACTGCCTTAGAGCAATCTGAAAGCCACAGTCCTAATCCACTAGCCACTGGACCTATCACGCCCCGAAGAGGACAGAAGAGACATGATCATCCCACGTAATGGATGGGGACGTTGAAGCACTAAGTGGTGTGGTCTGCCCACTCCCACAGCTCAGGAAGGACGGTAAAGGACTCAAGAGCATCAGCGCTGAAATGGGGGCTCTGGGGGAGCCAAGGTGGCCAGGGTGGGCCAAGGCGCTTTGTCATGGTGCTGATCCCACCCCAAACGCCTAATACCTGTGGCTCGGGGAACATGAAAGGCACAGGGTACCTGGGTGTCCACAGTGGTGACTCTGGTCTGCAGCATAGCCTCTGGCTCGATCTTCTTCCTGATGGCCAGGCTGCTGACGGTCATGGTTTCCGTTTTCACGGGCTGCACGGAGATGAGGAAGAACACTTCGTAACTCGAGCCCTGGCATGGCTCCTGTCACAGGCAGCTGCGGCGTAGGGTCAGCAGGTTATCTCTCACCCCTACATCTGGCCAAGTCTCCAGAAGGGTACACAGGTCAGGGCAAAAGAGGCCTGGTGTGATGTTACTGACAAACATCCCGGGAGGAGAGCCAGAACCACCAGCAGCCACCGGACAGGCCTGCCCGTGACCCTGCAACCACCGAACCTCATGGTGGCTACTAGTATATGCTGTTTTCTTAGGGCACCATTAAGAGAACACCTACTATTTAGTGAATGTGCTGTGTGCCAGACCCCATGGTAGGTATTTTCCCTACATCCATGCCACTAAATCTTGAACGACTTCAATGGTTATGCTACCACCTCATTTGAATCGTTCTTTAGAGCAGAAGCCACACACCTGGAGGCCCCTGGGGGCCAGGGAGGGGATGTAAACAAGTGAAGTGGGCTTGTGGGGGCCTGGGGGGAACTTTGAAGCACATGGGGTGCCACTCAGGTTTGGCCAACTGTGGCCATGGCTTCTGAGTGACTGGGTCATCTGATTTTTTTTTTAAAAAAATATGTAATTTTTTAATGATATAAGAAAAATCCCTGTGTTTTATATTCAATGCCCTGATTTTTAAATCAAGATCAAAGAAAACAGCCCGCTGGCACGGCTCAGTAGTTGAGCATTGACCTATGAACCAGGAGGTCACGATTTGATTCCTGATCAGGGCACCTTCCCAGGTTGCAGGCTCGATCCACAGTAGGGGGCGTGCAGGGGGCAGCCAATCAGTGATTCCCTCTCATCATTGATGTTTCTATCTCCCTCTCCCTCTCCCTTTCTCTCTGAAATCAATACAAATATATTTTTAAAACTATATGTAAAAAAGAAAACACATCTGCTAGCCAGGTCTGGCCCGAGCCACTGGTTTACAACCTATGCTCTATAAGTCATTAAGTTAAATGATCAGTTTCTTCTGCGTCCTCCATTGGGCTAGTTCATGGCTATCCACACAGCAGGTACCCACATATGTGAACTGAATGAATGAATGAAAGCTAGCTGGTCATCTGCTTGGAAGAGGGGTGACGGGTGAGGGGTGAGGAAACAAAAGAGGGGTGAGGGGTGAGGAGACGGTTGTACCCCGGAGAGCTAGCCCTTCAGTCAATCAGCTACTAGTGCCTGCTCTGTGCGGGCTTCCAGGAGCTGCCACCTGGTAGGAGAGCAGACCGGTCAGCCACTGATGTACTTGGGCTACCACCGGGAGCAGAGCATTACTGGGTCAGGAGGCTGTGGAGGGGACAGCACTCCTTCCCAGGGTGGTCAGGAAAGCATCTGCTAGGGAAGTGACATCTGAACTCTGTCCTAGAATATGGCACACTTGCAGGGCCGAGAAAGGAAGGAATAACCTTCCACCCAGAGGCGACAGCACGAGTGAAAGCCTGAGTGATGAGCTCACGTCTCGGTGTCTGTAGGATGGGGAAGGGGAGAGTGGTGGGAGGTAGGCTGGGGCTAGAAGAGATGAGGGAGCAAAGGAATAACATGAACAGAGATCCTCTGAAGGAAGGACACAAAGCAGAGAAGCCCAGACAGTGCATCCCTGGGTCCCCCTCAGGGACGACGTTTCCGCTTCTCCAGGAGTTTCAACAGCTACCCCAGGAAGCCCAGGCCCCAGGGAAAGGAGCCCGGCCGGCGTCAGGACAAACCCTCCGACTTTCAGACCAGGCCGGGCCCCTGCGAGGTGTCACAGCACATGCTCTCTGCAGTGCCATGCAGCACAGGCAGGGGGAGGAGGAGTCGAGTAAGACCTGACTGCTGGTCACTGCTTGACCTCAGGCAAGCGATGGGTTCACAGGGTTAAAACGCCAAGGTGTGCATGTTAGGGGTAAACCGAGACGGCAAACATGCGAGCACAGAACCATGCTGTTCTGCGGAGGGACAGTCATGCAACACGAGACACAGCTTCAGGCTGGCGACTCGGTCTTCTCACAGACGGCCAGGGCCCTCTGAACATGCAGGGCCTGCTGGGCGCAGTCTCGACGATGCTCCACTGTACCTCAAACTGGGGCATATCCGGGGTGGAGCAGGCCCCTCGATCCGGGCTGTCCTCGAAGCCCCCGGACTCGTCGTCCTGGCTGGGGCCCCTCTTGCTGAGATCCCGGGAGAACACCAGGCCCTCCGTGTCTGAGTCGCTTTTGTCTCGGTCGAGCTCGGGCAGACTGCGGGAGAAGTCTTCGAAGGCGCTGCCGTGGTAGTCACCCATGACGGTGAAGTCGACCTCTGCCTCCAGGCTGGACGTGGAGCTGACGGTGATGCTGGAGCACTTACGCTCGATGGCCAGGTGGTTGTCCTTCAGGAACACCGCGTCCCTCTCCTGGTCCTGGTCCTCATCGCCCGTGTCACTCTCTGGGGCCCTGGGACGTGGTGGTTTGACTTTCTCCTCCGAGCCCTCCCTCAGCCCTGCTCTCTATGGCCAGATAAAATAAAAGGAACGGGAGTGTGGGACGAGAGGGAGAGAGAGAAAGAGAGAAATCAAGATGGTAAATGACAGAAGAAAACTCGGGGCCATGTCGAAGTCCAGGTCAGGAAACAAAAAACACCCCGGGAAAGGTTCCTTGACATCATAACAAGCTTAAAATAACCGAAAAGTTCCCAAGAGTGGGGACGCTGTTTTCCGGGGGTCTCCTGATAATGGCAAAGCAAGTACAAAGCAAACATCCTGCCAGTTGGTTCCTGGACAGGAGGCTCCATCCAACGTTTGGATCTGGGAGCTGATCAGAAGCGGCACTGTGCACAAGGCAGGGATGGGGGCCCAGGTCCCAGGCCCATCCGTGCGGGCTGGACTCGAGAGACAGAAACCAAGGAGGGAGACCCAGGGATCAGGAAACCCAGGCAGGGGAAGCAGAGGCTGGAGCCAAGAGCTTTCAGGAACAAAGAGGAAGCCAGCACGGTTTGTCAATTCCACTGAGTCCCCATGGGAGGGGTCAGCATCGTCTCGAGGGAGGACCAATATGGGCTAATTCCTGGGAGCTGGGTGCTGCATCAGTTCAACCCTGAGCTCCATGAGTGGGCCGACGGGCAGGCCATGGAGTGGAGGTTCTGGTCCCATCAGTGTAATTGACAACAGCAGGCCAAGGAAGTGCCGGAGGGGAACCAGCAGCTCTTGTCTGACATACATACCTCTCAACTGGCCTGTTAGGGATTAAACACCACTCATACATTTGGGGCTGGTTCATGACACTCCTTAAAACCAATCTAACACCCACCAAGTATGTTTAAAGTACATGGCTTCAGGTTCTAGAGATTCAGTGCATTTGGAGATTCGTTTGCTTAACCAGCATCCATTTAGCCAGTTTCTGGAAGGTTGAGAGGTGTGAGGACACGTTCAGACAAGCCAGAGTTGAGCTGCCATGAGCAGCACTGCCAGCGTAGGTGGGAGTCTAAGGCAGCGATGCACCCTGGCCAGGTGTGGGCGACCGGGGCATCGGGGCACCAAGGGGCTGCAGAGACCTGAGGGCCTGAGGGGCCGACGAATCCCAGGCGCCCCCCTTTCCCAGGGGGTTTTGCTGCTAAACTGGCGAGGCGCTTCTCTTCCCTGACTGCATCTCCGGATTTGTTCTGGATCAGAGAAGACAGTTAGTCTTAAGGAGGCAGAAAGGCTCTGGGCACTGGGACCGAGAGGGAACCACAAGTGAAGGATGAAAACTTCTGGACTGTAGCTTCCCCAAGGCAGGAGCACCAGGGAAGGGAAAGGATGAAGGAAGGTCACTGGATAAGCCAAGCCAACAGGTAGGCACCCAGCAAGTGGGGGCAGCAAGGCAAAGCAAGTGTGTAGTTTGCTGGCGGTGGCGCCACCTTCTCCACTGCGTCAATGTGGCCCTTTGGGCACCAGATCACACCAAAAGCTGCGGGTCTGTGGCTAAGCTCACATGGGCCAAGCAGGTGAACCCTGCATTCTGCTTGGGCTACACTCGGGGTAAAGAACTCACAGGGATGGACAAGCAGCCTTGGATTGCACTAATGACGAGGGGCACTGAACATGCTTCTAAAAAGCTACACAGCATGCGGTCACTGCCCAGCTGGGGGCAGCGGTGGGCGTGGGGGCTCACGTGGCCAGCTCCCCCAGTGGCTTCCTCCAGCGTAGTTTCGCAGCCCGAGTCGGGAGACATGAGCTCGAGTTCCTGGTGGGATGTAGTAGAAACGCCCGCACTGAAGTGGCCGGCAGTGGGTGACATCACTGAGGAATGCGTGGCGTTGGGGCCGGCGATGTCCTCCGGGGGCGGGAGGTGGACGAAGCCCAGGTCCGAAAGCGTATTCTGCTGCTGCTCTGCCTGCCCTAGGGAGGCCTCTGAAGACAACTCACTTGGAAGGGCCCGTGTTTCGCCCTGACTCGCTCGCCAACTTTCAGCTCCATGGGTCTCAAAGATCCAAATTTTGTTGGCCACCGAGGTCTTGCTGATGTCTTCCAGGGAGCCCTCTTGGCCCCCAGCTTGGAAAGGAGTCATCTTTGGCTTCCCTGAAGGGAACCCCAACCTTAGAGCTGCAACTCCCTCAACTTCTTCAAGGACAACTCTGCGCTTTCTGCTGGCAACGGGGGGTGCCTTGCGCTCACCTCTGTCCAGAGTCACAACAGGCTCTACTTGGTCCTTGGGTTCTGGGCTCTCTCTGAGAAACACAGGGGGCTGTTCTCCAAAGGGATCCCCAAGCTGCAAAGGCTCCCCCGACCCATGAGAGGCTGGGCTCGCAGAAGCGTCCTCAGGAGGAGCCTGAAAGGGACCACGGGAGGCTGGGAGGGGGTTGATCACCTCCATCTGAAGAAACTCCGTGTGAACCTTGCTGTGCTCCCTCATGGGTTGTCCTGTTTGGGTGTGAACTGGTCCCTTGTCTTTGGGCAAGAAGTTGTCTCTGTCCGGTCTGGCTAGTGTCCATGGAAGGGCGCAGGCCGGGAAGTCTGGGCACACACCCGCTCCTCTGTGAGGCGAGTGGTTCCTCCATGCTGCTGGGGGACTTTTCTCAGCCTTTCCCATCAAATCTAGACTCCTGGGGGCCTCTTCCTCTGCAGTAATGGCAGGTGCTGGGTGGGTAAACTCTCCTTCCACCCCCCACCCTGCTTCTTCCCAATCCTTAGCAAATCTCTGCCCTGGAGAAGATCCATTACCGAGCTGCTGGTCAAAGGCCTCCAGGTCATTGGGTCCTCCGTGGTCCCTGGGAGGCCCCACCTCTTTCTCCAAGGAAGCTGTGTGAGCTTCACCATCTTCATCCTTGCTCCTTCTGGAAGCTGCCGGAGAGCCCCACTGGTCAGAGGCCCTCAGCTCAGAGCTCTCTGCAAGCTCTCCCGAGAGCTCCCGCCTGGTCTCATCTCCAGGAGGGGCTTTCAGGCGCTCTCCTCTCTCCTCCAACAGTGGAGGGAGGATTTGGTCTTCAAAATCTTTCTCTCCATAGTTGAAATAGAAGCTCCTCTCTGCAAAGGAAGTATCGGTTTCATCACTCGAGTCGGCTCTGTCTTCCTCGTGGGCTGGGTCCAGCAGAAACGACTGAAGTCCTCCCTTGTCAGAGGTTGGAGAGGAGACATCCACCTCTGCTGGCCCGGTCCCCAGGGCAGTGGGCCTTTCACAAGTCTGGATCTCCTCCAGCTCCTTTCTTAGCTCCACATGGCTCTCCAACTGACCTGAGACCCGCCGCTTCCTGATGGTGGCCTCCCCGGTGCCCATCCTGAGCTGGGAGCCCTCAGGAAGCTTTTCTGCCAGAGAGCAGCCTGCAGCCAGGGAATCCCCTCCTGGGCCATTCCCGACCCGGGGGCCCTCCTCCCACAGTGACTCGAAGTCTTCAGGGCTTGCAATCATTCTTCCTTTTTGCTGGATGTTTGCTCCTCTGGCTCCCACCATTTCCTCTGTGGCCACTTCAACCTTGAACTTGTCCACCAGGATATCCACCTTGGACAGTCTGCCATCGGCAAGGATATCTGCAAGGCCTGCCTCACTTTCTTCCTGCTGCATGGCGGCCACTTTTAGAAGACTGAGTTCTTCTGGCCTAGTGTACTTCCTTTCTACAAATACCCAATGCTCTGAACCCTGTGTTTCAATTGGAGCAAGAAGAGTTAACATGAAATAGCAGGCACCTGAAGAACAGGTCACCTTTTCCCTTTACAAGAAGGGCCCATCCTACCACCAAAAGGTCAACATGTCTGTCCCCAGAACTGGCTGGGGAGAGGAAGGCATGACAACACTAGTCAGCCTCATCAAAGCTCCTCTTGCCATCAAAGCACCCAATAAATTATTTACCAACTCCCCTCCACCGCCACCCCGACTTGGTAAAATGGGATGGGGTCTCCTCATGTTAACCGTGGGGAAAATGGAGATCCACGGATGGGCCAGGACTCTCCCTCTTCCGTTTTCATAATACAACTGCCACTGTCGGAGGGGAAAGTAGCTGATGTTACATGACATCATTGAATGTTGGAGCCAAAAGAACTTCTAAGACACCTTCAGTCCAATCTCCTCATTGTGCAAATGTGTAAACTCAGGCCTAGAGAAGGTCGGTGACTTAGCCAAGGTCACAGTTCATTGACAGTAGAGTCAGGAAAAGAGTGAGTTCTGATGACTGAGATCCTGGCTAACTTATCTCACAACGTATGGAATGTGGGTCTCACTGTGATCTAATGTCAAGTTGATGGGAAGTACTGAGATAAGTTCCATAAGCTGACCTTCCTGCAAGAGCTTCTGAGAAGGAAAGAGATTAGAACGAAAAACACTAACTGGCCAGCTTTCCTGCTTAGTGCCAGTCACCGCAATGGCTTGAACAGCTTGAACTTTGTGGGGTTCATTCACAAAGAAACAGGTACCATGGCCTGTCCTTGGAGAATTCTAATGAGATCCACAGAAAGAGTAGACGAGGACTGACCGGAACACATCACCGAAGGAAACAATCTAAAGATCCAGGCATATCTTGGGTCGAAAGCACCAACAAGAGGGCAGCACTGTCAAACCACGGACAGAACAGCCCCCACCTCCCTTTTGAACAACACTTAGGAGGGAACCATGGACTTCTAGAATCATTCAAAAAGCAAGAAGGCCATTGGGGTTTTAATCTTACAGCCACAGAAAACTTTCTTCACACAAAATCTCAATGGAAGTCTACTATGTAGCACAAACATGGGGCTGCCCTGTTGAAGTTGGGGGCCTAGTGCCCTGAGGTACTTTCCTCCTTTGAAATCACGGCTCTGAGCCAGCCCCTCATGGTACAGATGTGGAAACTGAGGCCTAGGGAAGGTGAGCACCATGCCCACAGTCAGAGAGTGAGCTAGTGCCAAGGCAGGCCTAGAACCTTCTCTGAGTCCAAGTTCTGTGAGATGCATCCACGGTAAGATGTGCCCCAAACTGCTCCCGACAACAAGCTGGGGAAGTTTATCTGACCTTGGGCTCCGATTCAGGTTATGACTTGGTGAGGCAAGATCCCATCAGACCTAAA